GCCTTCATCCCGTGCGTGATGACGGGGTGGGGGATTCCGCGGAGGGGGTCATAGACCAGCGCGCCTTTCACGAGAATCTCCTGCATTCCTTGGCGTGCCTTCGGGGCGGGGAGTTTGGGCGGCTCGAGAGCCACCTTGAGGCCGCCGCCGCCGTGCTTTACCGCGAGCTTCGCCCGGGCAGATGGCGGGAGATTATTTCCGCCGCCGAGGCCCTGCACGACATCCGACGATGCGCGGCGTACCTCAAAGAGTCCTCCGCCCCGAATCGCCACCTCCCCCACCTGGAAAATGAAAGCGAGGACCGACTTCCCGAGTGGCTGGGCTTTCGCCGCGAACCCTGCGACGGGGATTTCCCGGCCCACCCCGTGGACGCCGCGTCCTCGCCTCACCGCGGCGATCTCCTAGACGAGGTCCATCATTGCCTGTGCCAAATCACCCAGAACGCGTCGTGGTATCGCGCCTTCCTACTCCACCACGGCGCGCGCGAGGACCCGCCGTCCTGGCCGCGGCTCTACCATTGGCTCAAGCACTACGAGGGCTTCTGTCGCGGCCACCCCTCCCCCCCTCCGGCGACGGACGACGAGGCGCGCACCGCCCTCACGCTGCTCTACGCGCGCGCCCTCCACGGCATCGGCCGCGGCCACGACGCCGTGGCGGTTCTGCAACAGCCCCCCCTCCCCTCCCTCTCCTGTGACAGACTCTGTGGAAGGCCCAGTGATAAGCCCAGTGATAAGTCCTGTGATAAGCCCAGTGATAAGTCCAGTGATAAGTCCTGTGACAGGCCCTGTGATAAGTCCTGTGGAGGGTCCTGTGGAGGACCCAGTGATAAGTCCTGTGATAAGTCCTGTGGGGGGTCCTGTGACAAATCCTCTGATAAGCCCAGTGATAAGTCTTGTGACAGGCCCTGTGGAGGGTCCTGTGGAGGACCCAGTGACAAGTCCTGTGGGAGGCCCTGTGGGGAGTCCTATGGGAGGCCCAGTGACGGGCCCTGGGGGGTCTTCACGCTGCCGGCCTGTGCGTCGCGCTCGCCTCGGGTGGTCGAGGCGCTGCTGCGGTGGAGCTGTGGGCTGCAGCTCGCCCCGCTGTCGCAGCTCGCGCGGGATCCTTTTCTCTCGCGGGCCATCGGGGCCGACCGCAGCGGGGCCTGCGGGTTTCACCTCGCGCGGCTCTGCCAGCGCCTCGCGCGGGAGATCGCGGTGCGGTGGCGGAGCCGCGACGCCCAACA